AGCACCGTGAAGCTCTCTCTCTCTCTCTCTCTCTCTCTCTCTCTCTCTCTCTCTCTCTCTCTCTCTCTCTCTCTCTCTCTCAGTAGGAGCCGAGAGGAGGAGGAGGAGTCGAACCTATGCTCCTAAGCAAACGTCTTAGACCTCTACACCACGACATGGTAAGAGCAATTGCAAGCTGGGTTTCAACTGAATCCATTATAGGGGGGTTCCTGAGGCTTCTTGCACTAAGGCTTAACTCTCCCAGGTATTGGCTATGTGACCAGCATTAGCATGTGTGTGTTTTACTAGTATGTGTCTTACTACCAAGTGTCTTAATCTAACAGGTGTGTGTGTAATACTAGCATCTCTCACTCTAGCGAGCTCTCTTCTAGCATGTGTGTGTTGCTATCACATGTCTCTCACTAGCATGTGAGAGTGTGGACTTCACGCAATTAATTGAACACACTCCCACAGCACACTCTCCCACCTGGAGACATGAGCCAGGGACGACCCACCTCAGGGGGTCATGGGCCAGGGACGACCCACCTCAGGGATCATGGGCCAGGGACGCACGACCCATCTCAGGGATCATGGGCCAGGGACGACCCACCTCAGGGGGTCATGGGCCAGGGACGGACGACCCACCTCAGGGGATCATGGGCCAGGGACGACCCACCTCAGGGGGTCATGGGCCAGGGACGACCCACCTCAGGGGGTCATGGGCCAGGGACGACCCACCTCAGGGGGTCATGGGCCAGGGACGACCCATCTCAGGGGATCATGAGCCAGGGACGACCCACCTCAGGGGGTCATGAGCCAGAGACGACCCACCTCAGGGGGTCATGAGCCAGAGACGACCCACCTCAGGGGGTCATGAGCCAGGGACGACCCACCTCAGTGGCCTCTCTCAGCTAGGTGGGACCGACGGTGCTGTCTCGAGAACGCAGCCAAGATGACCAAATCCTCCCAGATGGAACTCATCAAATGGGAGGAAACGACTTAGAGGGGGGAGAGGGAGGGGGGGGGGAGAGGGAGAAGGAGAGGGGAGGTAGAGGGAGGGGGGTGGTAGGGGGCCAAGTGGGCTGAGGCATCTTGGACCACCTCATCAGCTCGCTTATTGCCATATACTTTGAGATGTGCTGGACATTTACAACACTGTTCAACCACTTACGGGATATTCATGCCCGTGCCACCTCTTGGGTGGCTTAATCTTCATTAATCAATCAACCTTGTTCAAGGGGGGTCTCGTAGTACAGTGGGCTTCGTTCTCGATTCATAATCGGGACCTAAGGTTCGATCCCCAGGGGAGCGAGAAATGGGTCGGGCACGTTTACTTTTTACCTGATACCTCTGTTCACCCAGTAGTAAAGTGATAACTGGGAGTTATGGAAATGTTGCAGTGTTGCATTCAGGGGAGCCTCAGTAATTTTGCCCCGAGGGGCGAGTTTATTGGGCAGCGCCACTCATCCTGTGAGTGGACACACCGCCATAGCAGCATGTACAACACTCCCCAATAGGAAGAAAACCCGCTGGGTTGTTCATCCTGTCACTTGTACCCAGACACAGCTGGGACTTGCTTAACTGTCTCAAGTGAACAGCTTCTCAAACAAGAAGATTAACATTTGTCAACCCTTAAAATCTTACGTTATCTTGCGGGTGCAAAATGGGGGAATCTTTTAAGAACAGTATCTATATTTGACAAATAGTGTTTTCCTAACTCAAACAATGTGGGGTTTATTATTCTACACATATTTCTAATGTCTCTTAGATGTTCACATTCTCTCAGGTAGTGGTCAAGGCGGTGTCCGTCACTCTCACCACAGATTCTGCAACTCCGCTGCTCAACTGTTGTTTCCATTCCGAATCTCCATGGATATTTGTATCCAAGACGAATTCTTGCTATTACTGATTCTCTCCCGTGGCCACCTCCTCTTCGTCCAAATAGATTGGAATTGCCAGCAGCAACCATATTGTTCCAGCGTACAGATTCACTGACTTGTTCTTCTATACTCCTTTCCTCAGTTACCTTGTCACGATGATATTGCCTGATAATACCTCTAATTAGTAGAAGAGTCTTGAATATGTAGTATTCCATATGGTCTCCTTTAGCGCCTACAGCAGCCAGCACATCTGCTCGTTCATTTCCACAGATTCCAACATGGGAGGGGATCCACAGAAATTCTACGCCTTTTCCCTGATTGGTTAGTACTCTCACAACTCTCTTGATTTCAGCGACTATCGCAAAATTTTGTGCCCGTTTTTACTAAGGCTCTGTAGCGCTGCTTGTGTATCAGTGTAGATCACTGCACCATTAGTTCTTCGTTCAAGAAATACGAACGCCATAACAATGGCAGTTAGCTTCGCTTGCATTGAAGAGGCATAGTTCTCAATGCGAGCTTTTTCTTCGTTTTTGCGTTGGAAGACATTATTCCTATTTACATTGTATGCGGCACCAGCCATTCCATTTACAGGATTAGATGACCCATCAGTGTATATTAGATCTAATTCATTTCCGGCTTCTTTATAAATTTCCTTAATCCTACATGGGTCATCCTCCCAGGGAGGTAATCTCTCTCAAGCATAAGCTCACGGGCTTGCTCAAACAGGTGAAGTTCTTCGAGGCAGCAGACTGATCTGTGATGCCATTTTTTGCTTCTCCTGTTTCCCCCTGTAAGTAGCACAGAACTCAGTTTTTTCTTGGCAATATCGGGTGGGGAGGGGGGATGGGGAGGGGGGAGGGAGGGGGGAGGGGGTTATTCGCCCAGCTGGTTTCTTCCTCAACCTTTTTTTTCTGGTTCTTTAAAACATTCCACTTTGAAGTTGAAAATATGAGTTACTTCATTAACAAACTGAGGCGACGTCTTATTGATATATATATATATATATATATATATATATATATATATATATATATATATATATATATATATATATATAGTTTGTTCCAGGGACAAACTAGGGGGTTATCTTCCAGGGACAAACGAGGGGGTTATCTTCCAGGGACAAACGAGGGGGTTATCTTCCAGGGACAAACGAGGGGGTTATCTTCCAGGGACAAACGAGGGGGTTATCTTCCAGGGACAAACAAGGGGGTTATCTTCCAGGGACAAACGAGGGGGTTATCTTCCAGGGACAAACGAGGGGGTTATCTTCCAGGGACAAACGAGGGGGTTATCTTCCAGGGACAAACGAAGGGTTATCTTCCAGGGACAAACGAGGGGGTTATCTTCCAGGGACAAACTAGGGGGTTATCTTCCAGGGACAAACGAGGGGGTTATCTTCCAGGGACAAACGAAGGGTTATCTTCCAGGGACAAACAAGGGGGTTATCTTCCAGGGACAAACGAGGAGTTATCTGTCAGGTGAACTAAAAGCAAGAATATGATATCGGAGCAGTGATAGCAAGGCTCGTGCCTGGCGCTCAAGAAGCTCAACAAAGAAGCGTGGTGGGTGTTAAAGCCCTGTGAGCATCAGAGCCCTGTGAGCCCCAGAGGACGCCCCTCTCCAAGGAGACGCCAACAGATCTTCACCAGCTCCTCCTCAGACGACAACATAAAGTGAAGTAATTTACCCAAACAGAAGATTTTAATGTAAATCACACATATTAGTGTAGCCCGAAGAGCGATCATTAGTTTAAGATCCGAGCACAGTTTAAACAACCAAATTAAAGATAGTTTTTTATCAGAAAAGTCACCCACGAGCCCCCCCCCCCCCCAATTAAATCATCAAGCAGATTGGATTTCAGAGTTAAGTTATTCTGAGTCAATCCCGCGTGCGTGCGTGCGTGCGTCCTTGGGAAACTTATATGAAGCATGTGTAAGGTACTTCCAGGCGTTGCTCCGGTCATTATGTACCCCAGCCCCAACAGCTTGTTTCCAAGCAATACGTCAGCATTCTCCACGCTCGAGTCAGCATCCCTCGTGCTCTGCATTCAGTGACTAGAGGCGGCCGACTCCGCCTCATGAACTATGCTACACTACTTGGCCTAGTCAATATACGCGTCATGCACGTCTCGGCCGCTGCGTGGGAGATTAACAGCCTTGTTGTGGAGAAATCGAGCCAGGCAGCAGCAACAGCAGCATCAGTAGCAGCAGCAACAGCAGCAGCAGCAGCAGCAGCAGCAGTAGCATCAGCAGCAGCAACAGCAACAGCAGCAGCAGCAGCAACAGTAGCAGCAGCAGCAGCAGCAGCAACAGCAGCAGCAGCAGCAGCAGCATCATCAACAGCAGCAACAGGAGCAGCACGACCAGTAAAGTCTTCATAATATCTTCGCGAAGATCAAGCTTGATATCATTAATAACGCAGCATAAAAGTTGTCCTCTCTACGATACCCAAGACTCCAGCTACCAACACATGTGTACTCGTCAAACTTCAGTGATATTTACACCTACAAAAAAAAACCCGCTTATATTTCAACCTTTTTTTTTTAAGGATATAAATTATGGAAATATACTGATGTAGCTTAAGCATACACAGCGGCATCATCATCACATGCTGTACCAATCACGGGAGACCGCTCGCAGCTTCAAGGAAGAACCGAATCTCTCGTATTGGGTTCATGTAAGGATTGATCCGGAACGAGTGAGCCAATTCGTGAACGTCGCTCCCACAGGATACGCAGCCCGCGCTCGTTAGCAGACGCCAAAATGCTCGTTAATACAGCCAGAGAAAATCTCTTCACTGCAGACTCTCCTAATAAACTTTTGGTCAAATTCTCGTTAATCCAGATGTTGTTGTTGTTTTAGATTCATTTATTCATAACAAAAAAGTTCCAAGTAGCACGGGCTATGGTGAGCCCGTAAGTGGAGGCTCTCTGGGGCCATTATCTGCATCAAGAGCTGATACTGGAGATCTGGGGATAGGGAGGGGTCTATGGACGCGCCAATCCAACCCAAGAGCAGGACTGCAGATGATGATTGGGGAAGATTAAGCCACCCTAAAGGTGGCACGGGCATGAATAGCCCGTAAGTATAGGCTCTGTCGAGCCACTACCAATAGCTGATACTAGAGACCCGTGGATGGATGGGGGTCTTCGTTAATCTAACTGTTCGTCTAATTGCTTGGGCATCGTTCCTTCTTCTTGGGCACTGTCCTCATATCTCAGCTCCTAGTCCTGATATCTCAGCTCCTAGTCCTGATATCTCAGCTCCTAGTCCTGATATCTCAGCTCCTAGTCCTGATATCTCAGCTCCTAGTCCTCATATCCCAGCTCCTAGTCCTGATATCTCAGCTCCTAGTCCTGATATCTCAGCTCCTAGTCCTGATATCTCAGCTCCTAGTCCTCATATCCCAGCTCCTAGTCCTGATATCTCAGCTCCTAGTCCTGATATCTCAGCTCCTAGTCCTCATATCCCAGCTCCTAGTCCTGATATCTCAGCTCCTAGTCCTGATCCTGATATCTATCGATATCTCAGCTCCTAGTCCTGATATCTCAGCTCCTAGTCCTGATATCTCAGCTCCTAGTCCTGATATCTCAGCTCCTAGTCCTCATATCTCAGCTCCCAGCCCTCATATCTCAGCTCCTAGTCCTCATATCCGTTGCATCAAACTTTTTTTATTTGACTTTGTACTGCAAATACAAAAATTTGCAAGTAGAACCAAAATACTAAACCTGTCCTAGGCCTAACAGGACACGAAGCTATAATATGCTTTGGTCAATTTAAAATCGAGAAAATACTGTTCCTGGTTATATATACTGAACATTAATGTGAGCAAATGCCTCTGTAGGCTGGACACTGACCTCGGACGACCTTAGCCCGAGGTCAACTACCAAAACAACCGCCGACCTTAATGACTCAACCACCAGTATGACCACCATACTGTGTAGTGATAAATGGCATCTTCACAAATGTGTTTAGTTCAAGTCGGTTTATTGAAAAAAATAAATTACATCTCCAAAAGGATAGAGTTGCTTAGGCTATTTCTACCCTCGTGAAATTAATATAGTTATTTATTTTAATTTTTTTTTATATGGGTGGGGGTAATTTTTTTTTCTAGGAGGGGGGTAGGGGGGGTAAGGTCAGGTGTTTCAAGGTCTAATGGTAATTATTTGTATCGGCAGTTCGCTGCTGAAGTATTTAAAAGTGCCAATCCAACACGGGAGAGAGATAAGCATTTTTTCAATCAAAGTTTGAAAAGTAATCAGTTTTGAATCCTGTGTTAAATGTGTTTATGTGTTTTGTTTCGTATACATATGAGTAGGATGGATTAACCAGAATTTGACCAACGTTTGTATGGCTAGATGATCCCATTTTAGTCAGAGCTGTGACGAGTTGGCATATTACTTAGTAAATCAATTCATAATTTCGGGGAAAGAATGAACTGCAAAAACCTCGACACCAAACACTAAATTATTCCGACACTTCAAATGCAAACTTTGCATTATGTTTATTTCGCCAGATACTGTACACAATCAACACAATTTATTACATATATATATATGTAAATGAAATGTTTAGCTTCCGTGTTCGTGTTTAAAGCCTAACCAACAAATATTCCGCGTGTTTACACACACTCTCTCTCTCGCTCTCGTAGTGTCCTTAACAAGCTCACCTGCAACAAGTCAAAGCCAAAACAAATCACGCAGAGGAAGCGCTTTACACTTGGCAAAACATCTGAATGTGTTCATAAATTCACCAAAATGCGTAACACAAACTCCCTGCCCACTGCCAAGACGCACAAAAAAAATAAAAAAAAATTATAGTGTCCCCTTTAAAATGGGGGACACTATAATTTACCGTTTTCTACCATGCACCCCCTCTCTTCTCTCCATACCCCCCCCCCACATCCACCACGTCCCCTGAATGTATGACATTCGTCATGTTTTATCAACGTTGAGGTCTCATGTTGCTCGTATCTGTCATAATTCGTCTCCAGGTATTTATAGCATGCATCAGTAACCCGACGACGCCCCGGACACCAACCACCACCAGAGAAAACTATTTTTTTTTGTATAATTCTCTCCCCCCTCCCCTCTCCCTGCCCCTTATTAAAGGAGGTATAATTAATATTGCCATGCTGGAAGGATTATCTCTTAGTTTCAATAACGTCGTCTTGAGCACCTCAAGACGACGCTACAAGCGTTCACAAGTTACGTCTGAGAGCTCGTAACCTGAAAATTGAAGCCAACTTATTGCGTGGAAGCCTAAAAAAATGATCTTGAGACAATATATATATATTTATCTACCGAGTCAGGTTTAAGGAGCATGTTACTGATGGCTATTGCCCTAGAAAAAACCCTCTCTGTGTCCACGTGTGTTCCTGGGATGGAGGGGGAGAGAGGAGAGGGAGAGGGAGAGGGAGAGGGAGGGAGAGAGAGAGAGGGGGTACGTAGGAAGGAGGAGGAGTGGGGGTTATGGGAGCTGGGACAGAGGTGTATCATCAAAGTGCCAGTGTGTGTGGGGGGGTTGGGGTGCCACGTGTTGGTGTCCATGGTCATTTGTCACTACCTCCACCACTCGGGGGACCCCTCTAGTGCCTTGTCACGCCCAGCGCCTCCTGGCATGGCACTGGGTGCCGCTCTGTAGCGCGGACGACCAAGGCACCCACCACCACCTCCCTTGTTTTTTTTTAAGGTAGCGCTATGCCATTTATCATTCTTCCTCCCCCACTTATCTTCAAGCAAAGGGGTGATAGAGGCGAGAATTGATGGGGGTTCTAGAGTCCGCCGATATTGGGAAAGGAGACGCAACGTTAAGAATTCTTGTTGGAGTTGACATGTGGTGGTGGTTGTGGTGGTGGTTGTGGTGGTGGTTGTGGGTGTTGTTGTGGTGGTGGTTGTGGTTGTTGTGGTGGTGGTAGTAGTGGTGGTAGTAGTGGTGGTGGTTGTTGTGGTGGTAGTTGTAGTGGTTGTGGTGGTGGTGGTGGTGATGATGGTTGTGGTGGTTGTGGTGGTAGGTATGGTTGTGGTGGTGGTGGTTGTAGGTGTGGTTGTGGTGGTGGTGGTGATGGTTGTAGTTGTGGTGATGGTTGTGGTGGTGGTGGTTGTAGGTGTGGTTGTGGTGGTGGTGATGGTTGTGGTGGTGGTGGTTGTAGGTGTGGTTGTGGTGGTTGTAGGTGTGGTTGTGGTGGTGGTTGTGGTGGTTGTGGTGGTTGTGGTGGTGGTGATGGTTGTGGTTGTGGTGGTGGTGATGGTTGTGGTGGTGGTGATGGTTGTGGTGGTGGTGATGGTTGTGGTGGTGGTGGTGGTGGTGGTGGGTGGTGGTTGGTGGTGGTGGTGGTTGTGGTGGTGGTTGTGGTGGTGGTGGGGTGGTGGTGGTGGTGGTGGTGATGGTTGTGGTGGTGGTGATGGTGGTTGTGGTGGTGGTGATGGTGTGGTGGTGGTGTTGGTGTTGGTAGGTGGTGGTGGTGGTGGTGGTGGTGGTTGTGGTGGTGGTGTGTGGTGGTGGTGTGTGGTGGTGGTGGTTGTGGTGGTGATGGTGGTGGTGGTGGTGGTGGTGGTGGTTGTAGGTGTGGTTGTGGTGGTGTTGTTGTGGTGGTGGTAGGTGGTGGTTGTGGTGGTGGTGATGGTTGTGGTGGTGGTGTGGTTGTGGTGGTGGTGATGGTGTGGTGTGGTGATGGTTGTGGTGGTGGTTGTGGTGGTGGTGATGGTTGTGGTGGTTGGTGGTGGTGGTAGTGGTGGTGGTGTGTGGTGGTGGTGTGGTGGTGGTTGTGGTGGTGGTTGTGGTGGTGGTGATGGTTGTGGTGGTGGTGATGGTGTGGTGGTGGTGGTGTGGTGGTTGTGGTGGTGGTGATGGTTGGTGGTGGGGTGGTGGTGGTGGTGGATGGTTGGTGTTAGTGGGTGGTTGTAGGTGGTGGTGGTGGTGGTGGTTGTAGGTGTGGTTGTGGTGGTGGTTGTGGTGGTGGTGATGGTTGTGGTGGTGGTGATGGTTGTGGTGGTGGTGATGGTTGTGGTGGTGGTGATGGTTGTGGTGGTGGTGATGGTTGTGGTGGTGGTGATGGTTGTGGTGGTGGTGCATACCTATCAACGCCTATGGGGAAGTAAGGTCTATCTCTTCATGCCCCCCCCCCCCCGCCTAACACCTTTTGTTCTATCCGTTGCGTTATAATTAAACTATTCTGACGTCCGAATTCTTTCTCGAATCTAGCCTTAACATTTTAGAGGGAGGTGGCTTCCACAACTTCTTTCCCAGCACCCCCTCTTGTTGTCCACCCGCACGGGGGGTACCAATATTTCCTTATATTTCTCCTACTCACTTGTGCTTCCAGCTTCCACTTGTTCCGTGTCGCCCTTCTCTTTCTCAGTGTGAAGAGACTGTCCTTGTCTATCTTGTCTATTCCACTCAGTGCTCCCTGTTTCATTCCTCTTCAAAGGTTATCTTGAGATGATTTCGGGGCTTTTTAGTGTCCCCGCGGCCCGGTCCTCGACCAGGCCTCCATCCCCCCAGGAAGCAGCCCGTGACAGCTGACTAACACCCAGGTACCTATTTTACTGCTAGGTAACAGGGGCATAGGGTGAAAGAAACTCTGCCCATTGTTTCTCGCTGGCGCCTTGGATCGAACCCAGGACCACAGGATCACAAGTCCAGCTGGCTGTCCGATCGGCCGAGGTTGTGGTTGTTGTGGTGGTGTAGGTTATGGTGAAAGAGGGGGTGTAGGGAGGGGTAGGGAGAGGTTGTGCCACACAAGATGGAGTGATGGTGGTGGTGGAGAAGGAGGGGGGGGGGGGGAGCCGCGCCACAGAAGATGGATGGAGTGGCGGGTAACCCGGGCCAGGTATTTACAGGGCAGCTTTATAATTACCGAAGGGTTGAAGGCGGGGGTGACTGCCACCAGCAGCACTTTACCGGAGGTGTGGTGGTGGTCGTCCTGCTGCTGGCCCTCCTGCTGGCACTGCCACAGTGCTGGCCCTCCTGCTGGCACTGCCACAGTGCTGGCCCTCCTGCTGGCACTGCCACAGTGCTGGCCCTCCTGCTGGCACTGCCACAGTGCTGGCCCTCCTGCTGGCCCTCCTGCTGGCACTGCCACAGTGCTGGCCCTCCTGCTGGCACTGCCACAGTGCTGGCCCTCCTGCTGGCACTGCCACAGTGCCTCCACACGCCGCCCTAACCCACCACCCAACATCATAACCATTAAATTGTTTAATTGACGCAGTTGCTTGCTGGTCACTGTCTTCGTCTCCGCCTCCTCCTTCTCCTTATCCACCACCTCATTCACCGCTGTCTTTTCCTACTGCTTTCCCTCCCCTCACCACCCTCTTCAACCTCCCTCTTCTCCTCCTTCTCCTCCTCCTCCTTCACCTTCTCCTAATGCTCCTCAAATCCGCTCATCGATATTCCCGAGTCCCATTGAGGTAACAATCCATCTCTCTCTGACCCATTACCGACCAGCCTGTCATCCGTACTTGACCTCTGACCTGGCGTGAGATGACCTGACTTGGCATCTGACCTGACTGAGAGGGGTGTCTCTCAGTCACCAGAGTC